GGTGACTGTAGGCGTTACTTCAGTAGTGAAAAAAAATAAATAGTGAAGTATAAAGCTACCACCACTTAGCACTTAACTGCACTTTACATCTTCCAAGTGTTTTACAAACACTAATCCACACATTAACCATATGAGCATATCCCTAATATTACATATGTTGAAACAGACAGGAAATAAGAAGCTTCACAGTGCCACTTAGAGAGTCATTGCTAGAGGTGAAATTAAAATTCAGGAGATTCTGGTTCTGACCTATACTCAGATCACACTGTCTAAAAGAAAGTCACTTTTTAAATAGTGGGTTCCCATAAATTATACCATATTAAGAATGCACTGTAGTATTCCTACAGCAGTACTCAATGTCATGTACTTCAGGAGGGATATTTCTTTGAGAGCTTCAGAGTAAGTTTTAGAACTATGACCTCACTCATCACAAGTTGAGCTTGTTTTTAAAAAAAGTGCTTTGAGAACATTGATTTCTCTTTTGCTCTGCAAGTGCGTTGATTTTCCCTCCCTTTTTGGCTGACAGTTTTATGGATCAACATGCATCTTACACACCATTTTAATGCGAAGTGAACAGTACAGACTTTATATATTTTGTGCTGTTAGAACCCACATTGCTCACTTAGCGGTAAAGCATGGAAGTTACACTTTGATACCTCTTTTGTACATTTTTACAATATTTGCCTCATATTACGGATTGTTAAATCGTCAGTCATATGAAACTCAGTTTAAAAAGCACATCTTTGCTTGTTACTAAAATGAGATTATTAAAAATTAACATTTTTTAAATTTAAATTTTCTTTTCACCTTTACTCAGTTTGGAAAAAGTGGCCTAATGAGTTTCACTTTTAGGATCCTACCTATTAACACAATGTTAGTCTTCAGAAAGAGTCAGGAAAATGTATATTTTTACTTAAAGCCTGTTTAGATTAAGATCTATTGTATTTTGTAAAAACCCTTGAAAAAACAAACAAAAGCCTGTCACATCTAAATTGGGGGCCTAAAACTAGTTGAGTCCCTCTCTAACTTTACAACCATATTCCAGCAGCACTGGGGGAAAAACAAAATAAACAGAAGAAACTGAAATCCACCACCAGTCCAGCATAGAAACATGCTACTGCTCCAAACCACAACCAGGCAAATATTTAAAATCCATTAGACATCAAGTAGTATCCCTGTTTGCTATTCCACGTAGCTACATTAGATGTACAGTGTCTAAACACTTCACTTCCTCATAACCCATAAAACGTCTGTAATTTTAACTTCTCTTATTAAGTGCATGCTTGTAACAGAAGACACGACAGGTAAGATCCTCTGTATCGTACATAATTAACTTACGTTATCTTACTATGAAAATATGCGCCTGAAAAGAAAACTACCTAGTGGTCATTTCCCTTTTCAGGTTGTAAACAATAAACTTGAAGGATAACAAGACAATCTACCTATTCTTCTGTAGTGTTAAAATTATTGTTAGCAGTGCTAATTGATACAGGAAGATCGCATATGACAAGAATTTCAGTTACGTAGTAAGATTGATGTTTAGATGTGTGAGAAGGAACTTCTAATATGACCTCACATAATACTTTCCCCATGTTCAATTTTCCCTGCATTAACAGCACATTTTAGTAAGTTTAATTTGCTCCCTTCAGTAAGAACATGCTCACGTAAATAAGCACCCAATCCTTTGGACTGCATTACTTTAAGTCTGGTTACTTATGTCTGGCTACCAGAAGGTGACAGTATCAATGTCCACATCATAGCAGCATGTTACTATGGCAGAACTTAGTACACAGAAGCAGTGCTGTGAAGTTACAAGTGACTTGCAAGAGTGGAACAGTATGGATTTGGAAAAGGAGTGTATGGAAGGGCACAGGGACTGAAAATCAAAAGGACAGGGTGCTATTCTTAGATCTGCCACTGGTTTGCTGAGGAACACACCACCACCAAAAACTATCTGTAAAATATTAACAAAATCCTTGATTGGCAACAACTGTGAGAATCAATTCTTTGTAAAGCCCTTTGAAAATCTCAGATGCAAGGTACTGAAAAGGTGCAGAGAATATAAAAATCAGAGCATCCAACCAAGAATACGGTCAGGTGCTAGCTTGTTTCCTTACACTCTATTTTCCCCATGCTGTAACCAGCAGTCTACTAAACAATTGTTCAGTTAAAGAATCAGGATAAGATAATTCAACAGTAGGAAGTCAATGAAGAAGCATAAAAGAAAAAAAAGTGATGGATCAATAATTACTAAGTCAGTCGCTCTAGCTCTGTTATTTATTCTGTGCAGTATTTTTCCTGTGGTGAAATCTGTGCACCAGCTTTAGGGCCATGGAACACTTCACTGTTCTGCCAAGTGAAATTAAGTCACTCAGCAAAAAGTAAACTAAAAATTAGTAAACTGCATTCTCCCCCCCACACTTTCATTTTAAAGCAACACAAACCATAAAAGGTGTTTGAAGTGAGCTCTTTCAGTTTTACAACCACTGAAGTCTAAGTTGTTCCATAACTCATTCAAGTATCTCTTCCTATTACTCCACTATTAATGATGCTGGAAGAGAGATCACATTCTCATTGTCCAACCAGAGTGGCAAGAAACCAATCACAGTAAAATGCAATTATTTTGCAAAACCTAAGCAAACTGGAATTAAGGAAAGAGACAAACAGATGTGTTTCTGTAGCAGATCATTTTATAATGCATATTTAACATTTTAAATTGTAAAGATTATGGATAGAACACCAACTGTAAGTGAATCCCTCAAAATATTCACAATTTATTAGCTTACTGCCATCTTACACTGATTTACTTTACTTCAAAGAATGATTATATTGCAGTAACACTATAGACCTTAACTAAGTCAGGGCTCCATTGTACTAGGTGCTATACAAGCAATAAGTGATATTCCGTGCTCTGGAGAGTTTATAAACTTTTATTCGTTGTCATTAGAAGTCAACTGACAACCAACTAATCCACATTCACCAGAAATCTACTGTATGTTGCAATACAACGCTATCTTTATAACTTGCAAGATAGATCTTAGTTTTTCCAGTGATTTCAGAATCATGCACCTTACATTGTGGATTACTAAAATGTTCACTATGGTAACCTCCCAGGCTACTGACAGCAACAAACTCCCTGGAGAGAACTGACATAAGAGAAGTAGCAATGTAGGCCTTTTTTCTTCACTACAAAAACCACTAAAACATCTTACATTAGAATTCTACTGTCAAAGTGGGTAAAACTATCAGACATGAATGTTACTGTTTTTAATCACCTTTTATGATGGCAACAAGTTTCTCCAAAGTACATGTAATCATTCCACTAAAGCCCACCTGGGATCATTAAACAGCCATCACCCCGGCCTATTATGTAGTCTAAAGGAAGGCCTTGTGGGATATTAATAGCCCACCTTGTTAGAAACTCACAGTAACTGCCAGCTTGTTTTTCTTTTCCTTGCCCTATTTCTACCCTAGGCTCCTTCCCATACCACAGCCAAGAATTTTTTTTGAGGGGGGGGGAGAGAAGGGGAGAGATAAATGCTGCTGATGTCTATGGAAAACTTTCAGAATCCTTCCCGTTTAGGAACAATTGTGCTTGTGTCACATTTTCTCCTCTGCAGTTTACTTTTGTTTCCCCTCTATCTTATACACCTAAAGTGAAGTTCGAGTCCTATGGCATCAACATAATCTCCACAGCAACCAACTGCTAGTATCACAAATGGAGGATTTACCACTTATGGGGTAGAATAAGCTACCAAGGCAGATGAACTCCTAAAGAAACAAAGATCCTGTTTTCTTGAGCACATCCCGTTAGTAAAAGAAAACGGGGCTGGGGAGACGCAGCAAAATATAAAATGGGAAGGCAGTAAGAGCAGTATTGTTTTTAAACACAGTGCAAAGTCCTGAGGGAGCTGCCAGCAGTTCCTACATTCTGGGGGGAGGGGAGGCCTCATACAACTCTGCAATTGAAACAACATTTACCAAAACAATTGGAATCTGCAGATGTGGCTTCTGTCGCTCTCACCACAGAATAAAAGCAATGACCTCCGTGTCAGTGATTTAAAGGCCAATTCACGGAATGGGGCAGTGCCCACTGATCCCCGTGGAACTCGTCTCAGCCCGGGAGGGATGCACTAGCCGACTGGAAGACACATGAACAGCGCGGCCCCACGGCATATTGAACTGCTGTTCTTCAGGGAGTGGGGTGGGGTATCCAAAATATCCCCGCGTTTAAAGATCCCCTTCCACACGCCATTTTGTCAGGGGAGGGGGAAGGAGTGGGACAACTAGGAGAGCTCACGTTTTTAATAACCTAACTTAATTATTTGGAATGAGCAGGAGGGGGACAAACTACCTGAGTTCAGGCTGAACTAAAAACACACCGCCCCACAAAGTTAGTGAGGGAGGGGGAAATTACCTCCAGCAGGATTGACCCCCCCCCCCCCGCACTTCCCAGTCTGCAGAGCAGACATAGGGCCAGAGCTTTAGGGAAAGTGGCCGAGCAGCAGCGGAGAGACCCAGCCCCCGCGTGGAAGGCTCCCCGCGCGAGGCCGGGGCACAGAACAAGAACAGCCCCTGCCCCCAGGGGGAACTTTGGCAAGCGGCAGCCGCCCCCGCTGCGCGGTCTCCCTTCACCAAGGGGCGCGCAGCCGGTCACCTCCTCTCGAGCGCCAGCCGGCTCCCCAGTCCCCCTCCCCTGCGGCCGGCGCGCCCGTGCGCACGGCGACTTTTGCGGGGAGTTGCGGGGCCGCCCGCTGCGCGCGGGGCTGGCGCATCCGCAGCGGCCCCTCTCCAGCCCGCGCATCTCTCCGGGAGCCGCGCTCGCCTCTCCCTCCTCCTCCCTGCGCTGCGCCTGCCGCCCTGCCTGGCCGCCTCCCGCAGCAAAACTTCGGGAGGCGAGAAAAAGCCGGCGGGGCCCGCAAGCGGCCGGCAAAACGCGCCCAGCAGCTGCGGCCGGCCCCGCTCCGCCCGCGGGGGGGCTCAGCCGGCGCCCGCCTTACCTGCGGCGAGTTTTTCCAGCCCTGCGCCGCTAGCTGCCGGGGCTCGGGCTCTCCAGCGCTCCGCTCGCCGCCTCATTCCAATATGGCACGGCCAGGCGGAGCGCATGCGCCCGCCGCCTCCCCCCGTCTGCCCTCCCCTCCCTCCCGGCTTTTTGGGCGCTCAGACGCCCCCGCGCAGCGACTTGCTGAGCTTTGCGCGGGGTGGGGACGGGCAACCACCTGCGCCGGCACCGGGCCATGCAGCCCTACGCCTCGTCCTGATCCCCGGGGCTCAGCCCCGTCCGGCACGGGAGGACTTTCTGCAGCTGCTCGCTGCCGGGCATCCCCCGCCCTAGCACCCGTTCCCTGCGGCATGAGCCCTGGCTCTGCCCCGACACCTGCCTCCTGGGGAGCAAGGCGCCATAGGACGCGGGGGTAAAGGCAAAAAAAGGCTAAGGGGTACCCCCATTTTAACCCACTAAGATCCAGCTCTCAGCCACGCTCCGGGGGGTAAATTAACAGAGAGGGGTGGCGGGTGGATGTGTATGACACATGCCCTCCGGAGCCTTTCACCCGGCCTCCTCTTTTCATTGCAGGACTTTGTGTACAGCAAGGAAACACGGTGTATTCCATTCGATACCAGGATACACACAGATCTTCCCCCACACTCTCCCCTTTGATGTTTTATTGCCGGGGTTTGCTCCCTGACGCTTGATTTCACTGAAATCAGTTCGACTTATTTTATTTAATACAAAAGAGAATGCAGAATTGTTCGTAGTGGTGGCACTCAGAGCTAGCTCCAACATACACAAAATAGACCCCATGGATTTATTTCCCGACATGATTTCACTGGAACGAGGCCCTGGTGTCGCAGCAATTGCTCCCGCGAGTAAAGACTGCAGGGAGCGGGCCCTAAATTGATCTACTCTTTTGAAAAGGGTAGGCTGAAAGACAGCGTACGTTATTTTTAAACCCCCGATAAAAACACCGAAGCACAATATAAAACAGGAAGAAAAAGGAAGCGGATTGTGCAAGACCAAGATCCTCATGGCCAGATGCCTGTGCAATGAGGGAAGGGTGGAAAAGCAATCGACTTCCACAGCGCACAAGCGATTTAGGCTGGGAGACTAATGCAGGCAAGAAGTATTTGAACTCCTAATGGAAAATAATCTTCAGAATTTCATTAGAAAAAAAGTGGAAGCTAAATCCTTGATCCAGTTTTACTTTGGATTTCACCAGGTTGCCCAAGAAAGAAGACATTGCCCATCTAAATCCCAGCGTCACTGATTTAACTGCATGCTCTTTAAGAATTGGTTTTAAATACTTTACGCATCCATATTACTGAAAACACACCGCTTTTATTCTAATGTCTACCCCGTTCATTAGCACATTCCATTGAATGACTCGCACTAGGGCTGTGTTTGGAAATATCAAACCACCTTAAATGATCTGCAGAATGGAAGCTACCAGTGTTAGTGTTTAGGCAACATTTTAACATTTACTAGGGAGACTATGCATTTTATATATATTCATCCCATTATGGTTGACATCAGTTGATAGCATATAAAAATAAGTGTTCAGAGGTGAAAGACACACGGAACAGAATAAGCTATTATCTGTCCCTGAAGCAGAGATGTGCCAAGAAATAAATAGACCAAACAGTGCTGGAACTCCAGACAGGAAGAACAAATGTAAGCCTGAGCAGGATAATTAGGTATCCAAGAGGCAAAATGTATATTGTTCTTTATTCTCTCGAAGGAGAGGTATCTGAGAGATACAGTGAAATCAAATTATTCCAGATATGTATTTTATATTAAATGGAATTTTTTTCAAGGGGAATTTTGATAACCAACTAGCAAAGGCAATATCCTTTGGTTAAAAAAAAATTCCACAGACATCTTGACTAACTCATGAAAATGCTTAAAGAATCTGCTGCTGGAAATAGTTGGAACATATTTAACAAAATGCGCTTTTTTTTTTTTTTTGGATATGTAAAGGTTATTGCACATAAAATAAAATGAAGCACCAAGATTGCACAAGGGGACCTGGTGTCTCACTGCCTCTGCCTCATGTTTGGAAAACTCACATTTAGCATAAGCAAAGCTAAGTGAAAGCTATCCCCAGGAGTGGCGAAGGTGTTAAGTGAGAAAAGGCCTACCTTATCTCACTTCAATTCAATTTCATGCGTATTACAAACACTTCCAGATATTGGGCTGCAGCATGCATAATTTTTCTTCCTGTAAAGCAGGGGTAGGCAACCTATGGCACACGTGCCAAAGGCGGCACGTGAGCTGATTTTCAGTGGCACTCACACTGCTCTGCATTTTAATTTAATTTTAAATGAAGCTTCTTAAACACTTTAAAAACCTTATTTACTTTACATACAACAATAGTTTAGTTATATATTATAGACTTATAGAAAGAGACCTTCTAAAAATGTTTAAATGTATTACTGGCAAGCGAAACCTTAAATTAGAGTGAATAAATGAAGACTCGGCCACACCACTTCTGAAAGGTTGCGGACCGCTGCTGTAAAGCATAGAAGTAAGTGACTGGAGAGTGAAATACACTGTCTGCCCACTAGAGGGTGGTGTCTCCATGTCAGTTTAGGACCTGTGAGCAAAACTTGAAGAGTCTGCACTTTAAAATCTTCATGAGCTGTCTTTGACCTGTGGGCAATTAGGACTTCATTATTTGGTACTTTCAGTCTCTTACTGTTCTTGTTTAAGTCTAATATCAGATAGCATGCACCTAAATATTAAATATCACATTTAAATTGTTTCTCCACAACTTCCTCAATAGAAAAAGCATCAGTAGCTCATTATGCTGGCTTTAACAACTGTTAAAAACAAGTGTCAATTCATACAGGCTCTCCTTGATGTAAGGTATTTTTGTGCATGTTTCTCTTCTCTTTGGTTGGCAAGCGGATGATACAACCTAACTGGCTTGAAGCCAGTTTAAAAGCATGCAGAAATTTAAAATGAAATAAGCATGCAATAAAATATTGATCATTCAAGTTTCCAAAGTATGTTTAATCTTTTTAAAAATGAACCATTGAACCTATGCAGACAGTCCTCCTATTTTGCTAATGCAAGTGCTACCTTTGCTTCAATGACAATACTAAGTAGTAATCCTTTCTATGAAGTTAAACAATAAAAACATCTTCCAAAATAAAACAATATTTTTAAGACCATGAGCAACATATTTAGGAGAAACACATGTTCAACTAATTATTTTTAAGTATCAAAGGGGTAGCCGTGTTAGTCTGGATCTGTAAAAAGCGACCATCCGACGAAGTGGGTATTCACCGACAAAAGCTTATGCTCCAATACGTCTGTTAGTCTAAGGTGCCACAGGACTTTGTTGCTAATTACTTTAAGTGACTAGAAAGTGCTCCTGATTTTGTCCTAACTCTCTGTATTTATCTTGGCAGGCCACATGAACATTAGATAACTAATGAGACACCCAACATATCCTTTTGTCCTTTCATCATAATAAATGAAGACCTTTTTGGAGTTTGTCAACATGCTGTTCAGGCTGTGGAGTAACCTAAAGTCATTCAAAGTCTCCAAACACAAATACCAGCACCTGCAGGCTATGCTTAGGCAAAACTTGCATTATAAACTAACGGAAAAAATATTTGAGCACTGACTACACTTTTGTTAATATTCCTAACTATCAATGCATCTTAAATTTGTTTAAGTTGCATATAATGGCGCAAGTCTGAAATCCGTAAGTATCCAGATGCCCCACTAACTTCAATGGAAGTTTTGGAAGCAGAAATAGAAAGCTCAAGCCCTATATCAAATGATGCAGCATGCTGAACATGGGATTAAGATTTAGGTTTCAATCTGTGGAGACGCATATCTCCCGAATCGGCAGCCCACGGGTGCGGCAAACTGCTCCCATGGCAACGAGGCAGGAGTGGCCTTCACCCCAGCGTCTGTGATTTGGGAAACTTCTTGGCTGGCCTGTTTGTCTCCCTCGCAGCTGGCTTTCACGTGCACAAGATATGGGTTTGTTATCTCATGTGGCTGTACACTGTATGCTTCTTTTATGCGCAAGAATTTAACCACTTAGAAGTGTTGTAAACAGGGAAGTAGAAGATAATAAAAACCTCAGGGAGAATTCCCTGAGAGGCTTTTTGGCTTGAGGCTTTTTGGGCTCTCTGGCTACCACAGACCTGGTGTTCTGTTTTCTTTCCTCTGTCGTCGCCACATCAATCGTGCATGTAACTGTGTGTATGAGGGTAACTTCATGCAGTTGAGTACTCCTACTCAGTTCAGCAGGAGTATTCAACTGCACTAAGAGTTTAAGTGTCTGCAGGATCAGAAACATTGCCAGTGAAACCTTGGATCAATTAATTACTTTTAGTTATGTATAACCAATTTAATATTGATTAAAATCATTAGTTTACAAGTTTAGTTACCTGCTTCAAGTAGGTGGAAGACTCATTTAATTAAGGACTGCAAGATTGGGCCTAGTAAAAGCAATTTAGTGCCATATCCTGCTCCTGTTGGAGTCAGTGAGTTTAACCCTTCACTGACATGGGAACAAAATAGGTCCCATAGTCTGCTTCCAACCCCTGTGTAGTTATCTACAAAAACAGCCACAGCACATATAAATGTGCAGCACATTCTGCAGTAGTATACATTTCTCCCACAATGTGCCTTCAACATACTTCAGCACTGACAAAGACCACATTTAGAGGCAAGTGCAATTCGTATTGTTTTCTTCATTGGCCTGGTCAGTGACACTGCCAGCAAAGATCCCAATAGGTGCCAGATGTGATGGTTACTTTTGCAATGTTGACATTAGGGGCCAATCCTTACCGAGACATGTCTCTCATTTTCATCAACAACTCAGTTCAGCCTTCACATATAAATCAATCTTAGTAGGAGTGCATTCATGCTATACCAATGGAGCAGGGGGAAGCTAAGACCCAGTTGTGTTTACCCTTCCACAGTATCCCCAGAACCAGAATTGGATAGTGGAGGGCCCCAAAACTCATGTGGCCCCATCCCTCTCTCCACTCCAGCCACATTAGCTCAGTGATAAAAACAGCTACAAAGAACCAGCCAGAACAATAAAGGAAATCACTTG